AACCAGCCGATTACAGCCGCTTCGTGACTGCAATCGGCTGGACTTCGGGCCACCCTCCATATTCTACACCACCACATTTAATCCCTACCTTACGCTGATGCCTTATGGCAATAACTACACTGATGGCTTCAGATACCTCCTCTAGCCAACCCCCCCCACAAAAACATAGCTACCTTCCCGATGGCTTCAGATACCCCTCCGGGTCGAAATTCCGTTAAAAATCACCAAAATACCTCCCTGATGGCCCGGAGATACCCCCATGGCTGAAATCCCCTCAAAAACTACCTAAATCCCTTCCTGATGGCTTCAGATACCCCCCATGGCTGAAATCCCCTCCAAAAACCACCTAAATACCTTCCTGATGGCTTCAGATACCCCCCATGGCTGAAATCCCTTCAAAAACTACCTAAATCCCTTCCTGATGGCTTCAGATACCCCCCCATGGCTGAAACCCTTCAAAAACTACCTAAATACCTTCCTGATGGCTTCAGATACCCCCCCATGGCTGAAATCCCTTCAAAACTACCTAAATACCTTCCTGATGGCTTCAGATACCCCCCCATGGCTGAAATCCCCTTCAAAAACTACCTAAATCCCTTCCCGATGGCTTCAGATACCCCCCATGGCTGAAATCCCCTTCAAAAACTACCTAAATACCTTCCTGATGGCTTCAGATACCCCCCATGGCTGAAATCCCCTTCAAAAACTACCTAAATCCCTTCCCGATGGCTTCAGATACCCCCCATGGCTGAAATCCCTTCAAAAACCACCTCAATACTCCTGATGGCTTTAGATACTTTAAATAATTTAAATAATTAATTAACATAATTAAAAAGTATTAAAAGTATTAAAGTAACTCAAAAAGGCATCTGGGCGCGCGAAGGGGCCTGGGGAAGAGGGGCGAAGAGAAAGGGGGCGTTGCCTCCCGGGGAGAGGGGCCCCCACTCGTTTTATTAAGGCGCCACTTTCAAAGTTAATTTTAATAATTTAAACAAAAACTTTTTCGTAATTTTTTTATCAGTTTGGGGGTTTCTGACCACGCTCTATCCGAATCCGAAGAGAGCTAAGCTCTAGCTCCTTTCCCCTTCGAGTTGAATCCGGGACACGACGGACAGACAGACACCACTACTTTTTTATTATAGTTGATCCTTGAAGCTGAATGAGATGTTTTTACCATTCGGCCCTTACCGTAATTTATCTCCCTTGTTTTCCGTCCTCTAGCGTTCTTTTCGATTTCCATTTAATTTCACAATTTTGAACTTTTGTGCCGTTAATTAGACCCTTTTCAGAAGATGCACTTCCTCCAGCTGCCCCTCGAAGTCCACTACCATCTGCTCAATTTTCTGGATCTTAAATCATGCTCTATCTACTCCACTACATGCCGCAAAGTTCATGCTCTCATTCAAGCGGTTCCTCAAAAAATTCTGGAGGTCACCCTACGCCCTGAATCCGAAAAACTTTGGGTCCAACAGGGACCCGCGAACTCCCGGATCACCAATGCTATTGTGAGCCAAGAAACAAAAGACCAACTATTCAGCGATACTACTGTAGCCGAAATAATCTATGATTTTGGCTCAAAACTGAATATTGATGGCCTTAAATCTGGGCATATTTGGCTGAAAACGTCGGACCGTGATAGTCTGGCTAAGCTTCGACAACACAAGCCGGCCGGAAAATTTGAAATGTTAGAGCTCAGTGATCTGGAGGGCTTTGAGCCCGAGCTTTGCGAATTTTTGGACGCCGAGACCGCGATATTGCAAATCGATACCTGGAACAACCTCTATGGGTGTTTGACCCTGAAGCACCCCGTGATGGATATTATCGAATACTGTGATCAAGATGAAGCTGTCGAAATTTTTGGAGATGTGCTGGTGGGAGAGTGGTTGGCCGGAGAGCGAGAGATAGAAAGTGTGGTGGTGGCGTGTAATCACCAGAGTCCGGATGTGGCTCCAAGAGAATGGGAACGAACGTACACGAGGGATGATGGAAAGCGGTTAGAAGAAACTGTTCATGGGGAGTTTTACATATGGAAGTTGATTGTTTGAACTGCGTTGCCGACATTTTTGATGGATCACTCTCTTCAAATTTTTGAGGCATAATTCTGATCGAAAGCCGCCCGTTGAAGACATTTTCTTGTAATTTTACAAATTATTTGTGTGGTTTATAACGTGAATCTCAATCTCCAAAAATAAATCACCGTATTGATCAAATTTAAGGGTGTCGCACTTACAAAGCAAAAATGCATAAAAAGGAACTGGAACCAAAAAATTAGCTAAGAGAGCTAGACCAAAAATAGCCTAAATCTAAAACTCAGAGATGTGTGTGAGTGAGAGAGATAGAGTGAGAGAGAGAGAGAGAGAGAGAGAGAGAGAGAGAGAGAGAGTAATGCCTAGTGACAGAGAAATACAGGCCTGAAAAGCCCACTTGCTGGCTAGTGGCCAAGTGTAAAAAGCAGCTGGTAGACAAACGTCTGCTGGGATCCGGGGATGCCCATCTTAACGATTTTTCGTGTTTCGCCTTTAGCTGCTATTTTTAGAAATATCTTATCATCTAAAGAATAATCGAAATCAAAACAAAATCCGTTTCAGAAAATGGATCTTCTCAATCTCCCCGCACCCGCTCACGACCGGATTCTGAATTTTTTGGATCTACGATCGCTATCAAGATTTTCGAGGTCATCAAAAATGGCTCGACGAATCGTGGAGAATTCCGCAAGGATCTATCTGGATATTCTATTTGCCGCAGTTTCCAAAGATACCTTCACGATTTTCGAGAAGATTAACGACCAGTTGGTTTTGCACCATTCTTGGAGGGGGAATGCCATGGATTTCCTTGCCCGGAAGATTATAGTGGACGAGATTGAACTTCACGATGATGATATACCGCCAGTGAAAGCTCTTGCCGTCCATTTCAAGAGAACGTCTCAACGTAGGCTGGAAATTCTCAAAAAATTAAAATGGGAGGCCAAGTTCCAGTGTCTAAAATTCCATCATCTGTCGTTGACTCCAGAGTTTGCGGCCTATTTGAACGGTAATACGGAGCGTATCGTACTCTACATAGAAGAAGACTTAATCGGATGTCTTTCTCTAAAATTACGAAAAATAACGATCCATCTGGTCCACGGAAGCTCGATCTCGATCAAAGAATTTTCTACTGGGATTCTGGAAGAATGGCAGAGCGGGAAGCGCAACATTTTGGAAGTTCAAATTATCGATTTTTCGAACGAGTGGCCGGATCGGACGCTTGCGTATAGGCGACAAGATGGAGGCGTTCTATATGAGATTTGGAATCGAAGCTCGGTGGCCTGGACCACGGATCCACGACGGAAGGATGTAACAAAGGATTTCCGCCTGAATTCGGAATAAATTTGCTTGCAAGTTGTCAACGAAAATATCACAATCAATCAAAATCAGTGCCAAATTTTTACACGTAATTTTCAATTTTCGAAATCTCATTTTGTCGAAAATCATCCCTGTCAACGTTTAATTTTGTCGAAATTTCGAATTGCAGAAGTATCAATTTGTTGGGATTTTAATGCCATTTGCGCCTCAATTATTCATCTCAAAATTTTGAAAATCCAAATTTGAGCGCCATGATATTGCGACAAAATGTGATTTCCACAAAATGAAAAATTAAGGTTCGGCCAAAGTATTTTCGACAAACTCATAGCAAATCGTTTTTGATCTGCTCAGGTCCTGGGGTCCACCCAAAATCCGATCGGATTCCACCTGGATTCGGGGTGGAACGCATGGAAATCGGGTGGATTTCGGGTGGATGCACACGGAATCGAGTGGAAACACGACGCAACGCGGGCCGCACGCGTCGCGGCGCATGGAAATCGAGTGGAAACCGGGCGGATCCGCTCGATTTCCAACTGATTTTCCGAGAGCTATTGGAAATCGACCCGATTTCGTGTGGAAAATAGACGACAAACTACAAAAAGTCGCCGGGCGGCGGGCAAACATTTTTTCGAATTATTTTTAAAAGAAAAATTGTTTCTAAAGTGTTTTATCGTTACTCTTGGTTACTTTTGTGAGTTTTCCTCATATTCTGCGTTAATAAACGTCAAAACTTGTCCTGGACTACTATTACACATTCTATCGAGCTTTTCCGTGGTTTTTCTGCCATTTTCAGAATTATTTTTCACTTTTTATTTTTCGAATTGCAGGTACGGCGTCGGGAGCAAGAGCCAAGAACGATCGCGCGTTACAAGCACTTTCAACGCCCGATGCCCAGCAGGTACTTCGTTATTTCGAGTTTTTTAGGTAGCGGCATGTCTGCGTCAATTCAACGACCGCACAAACCACGTGAGGCAAAGCTTGACGTGCGCCAAGCGTAAACCTGGGTTTGGAATCACGCATTTTGTAAGTTTAATCACTTTTATGTAGTTTTTGTTCAGTTCTCTGCAAGAACGACATCCGGAGAGACAATCGGCAGTGCTCAAGGCTTGGTTCGATGATCGTGACGAGGACAAGTAGTATATGGTCCGAAAAGTGATTTCTGGTGTGTTTTTATCTTTTTTACTTATTCTGACTAAGGTGGGTCATTGTAGACAATATTTTCGGAGCTTCTGGGTGAGCGGGGGAGCAAGACTAATCTTGTCGAGGGCGGTTTATCGTGACAAATAAAATTTTATAGTTCAACCATTTCTATTTAGACGAACAAACCATTTCTGACGGGGGTTTTTAGTCTAGAAGAACTTAATAAAGTTACGAAAATAACAAAAATGTTTCATTTTCTGCCAGAATAGGATGAAAATGACCAAAACTGAACAACCACTTCTGGATTTTTAAGAACTTTTATAGATTTATTTTGTTTGAAATGTGGCTTCCGGTGTGTTTTTAGTTTTCTTTGACCTATTCTGGAGTAAGATGGATCGTTTTAGGTAGTATTTTCGAGCTTCCGGGTGAGCGGGGTTAGTAAGGCTAAAGTTTGCGAGGGGCTGCAGCGTGGCAGATAAAATTTGATATTTAAAACCACCTCTAGCAAAACTGATAAACATTCCACAGCGTTTTTTATATAGAAAAACTTATTTAAATTACGAAAGTGCAAAAAACTTAGTCGTTCCGGACAATACATGTACAAAAAATGACGACCCTTAACAAAAACCTCTGAGTTTTAAGAGCTTTTATAACCTTTAGAATGATGCTTCTATCCAGGTTTTCATAAATTATCGAAACCTCCTAAAAACACTATAAAAATATATTATCTTTCATTAGCAGTCAAGTATCCATAAATAGATTGAAAAATTAGCCTTATCTCCGGCTAACACCGAAGCACCATCGTTTCGATATTCTTAGGCCAATATTTTTTAACCTTCTAGTCGTCCATGAATATCGAAAGGAGAAAAAAAATATTATGTAGATTTAGGCTTCACGTGTGCTAAAATTATAAAGGAGAGATTTATTTTATCAAGGTTCATTGTTAGTCCTTTTAATATTGATCTTAAAGTGCGACTTCTAGATGGCGAAACGAATGGCCGGTGATGCTTCGGTGTATGGTGCCGGTGTATGTTCCGGAGCAGGTCGTACTTGCACTTGCATTAAATTTTCTAAGTTTAGGGGTAGCGCCTTCATCTACCTCCCAGATGAATTGCCAGAAGTGATCGACCTCGCGATCTTGGATTTTGGTTCGATTTGTTGTTCTTTATCATGTCTATATTTTTTAGGAAGTACAAATGAAGGATGTGGACTTACGACAGTGCTGCTTGGGCCTCTTCAGAAAGGTAGCTTTTTTTGAATGGCTTTTAATTATTTTTTCTAGCCTTCTCCCTAGGCTGAGAGGATGCTGTGATGGATTGTGTATGGCGCATAAATGTGAGTTCGATTTCCGACTTTCTTATCTTTAGGGATGTCAGCGTGAAGCCGTGGAACTGGACGACATGAAGCCGCCACGCGCAACGACAACACCAACAGCAGCGACGACGATTGCACCGACCCGACGAGCAACACAAACCCTTCGTCACGCGAATGTGTAAGAATATTTCATATTATACTTGTAACTATGTTTGTGACTATCTTATAACTTATTCGTTTGTATATCTTCTATTTCTCGCATCTATTCGTATTGTATAATTTATATTTTGATATTATTTGTGTGGATAAATGTTTCGGTACAGTATAAGCGTGTATCTGCATGTAATACGAAAGAATACGAGGGAATACGGGGGGCAAAACCGGCCGCTATCCACGCACTAATGGAATCAGTATCCACCCGTAATCCAGGTGGAAACCGCCCGCTTCCACCCGATTTCCATGCGTTCCACCCGCAATCCACCCGATTTCCACCCGTGCATCCACCCGCAATCCGGTCGATTTCCACGTGGATCCGGTCGCGTCCGTTACTGGAATTCCGATCGGCGTCGCGAGCAGATGCCGACCGGATTTCGGTGGATCCCAGGACCTGAGTGTATCTTCGTAAAATAATGATGTGGTGCTGAGGGGGAAATTCTTAAAGATTTATGTCTGCAGAAAACGAGATTATGCGCAAAATGACAACAATTGGAAATTTTTAACTTCTTCCCTCGCTCCTCGACAACCGTTCCATCAGCCCATCAACCTCATCGCTCAGGAAGCGATTCTGCGTGCTCAGCTCGCCAATGTGCGTGAAGAACTAAAGGAAAGTCACGAAAATTAGCGATAACTTACCTTCTCCTGTTTCCGCTTCAGCTCTCGGTTTTCGCAGAGCAGCTGTTCGTGCGCTTCGTTGCCCCGATTTTGCTGCAACGCATCGGCAATGGCCTAAAATGAATGAATACGCTTTAAGCTCTGAAACTACCAAGCGTTGCTTCAAATCCTCAATTTCAGCTTCTTTTTCGGCCAGCTTTCCTCGCAATTGCTTGCACTCTTCGCAAGGTCGCAAATCCTGGAGTGAAATTTCATTAAGATAACGCGGAAAATATAAACCTTTATTATCTCTGGCTTGACGTCTTCATGAGAAGTGGTCGGAACATCATACAGTTCTTGTAACTGCGGAAATAGAGGCTGTGGGAACGCTAAAAAATTAGGATTACATTTCGAACTTGTCAACCTACCCATCGGCGGATCTTGCATCCCGGAAGGCATTGTGTATTCACATCGGAATCCGGCGATTTCGATGCTTCGCTTTACGCCCGGCATCTCGGCATCGGAACCCTGTAAAATTTTAACTATCACAGGTGTAACTAAATTTCACCCACCTCCTCACGCTTCTTCCTCTTTCTGGCTGCAGCGGCAGCATTCCGTTCACGAATCCCTTGTACAATTTTTTCATCCGGAGTTAACGGTGCCGGTGGTCGTGGGATTACTACGTCGCCTTCTCTCGGAATGAAGCTCTTGGAAAAATGTTCGGCGATATCGGGCGTGATATCAAAGAGTTCAATCATTTGGCCTTCAGATCCTTGTACAGCTCGATGCTCCTGAAAATTGGCGTATACCTCTCGTCAATAACTACAAAAACCTCGAAAATATAGCCTAGCATGATCTCAAAATGAAATGAAACTCACCTATCAATAACTAGGTGATCCGCACACCGGTGATCTGGGCATTTCCTCGAAGAAATGCCGACGTGCTGCTTGGCCTGATGGTTGCACACTAAAATTGAATTTTGGAAGTTTTTCGGGTGCTAATGCAGTTAGGGGGGGGCAGTCCGAAATTGGTAGTAAGGGGTTACGAGACGCTCCGCTTAAGCTAATTGGTTTTCTGCTTAAGCCTAGGCTTAACTTAGCTTTAACTAAGCTTAGCTTAGGCTTAGGCTTAGGCTTAAGCTTAAGCCCAAGTCAAGCTTATCTTGAGCTTCAAATTGTCTTACGCGGTCAAAATGGGGTCATTTAGGACTAAGCTTAGAGCTAAGCTTAGCTTGGCGCAAGCTAAGCTTAGACTTCGTTTGTATGAAGCTAAGCCCAGGCTTAGGCTTGGCTTAGCTTTTCCAGAGGCTTCGAGTTTAAAAAACGGCATTTGGAGCGACTTGTAGTCAAAATCGGGACTGCCCCCCCCCAAGTGCATTAGCACCGTTTTTCGTTAAGAAATCTGATTAGTAGAAACTCTATAACGTTAATTACCATACCTGTACAACGATATGGCCTCCAGTTCATGTGCAAAAATGCGTGCAGTCCGAGGCTTCGAGAAATCTTATACTTCCCGAAATTCGTCTGTATCGGCCGACCACAAAACTGAAAAAATAAGTTTAATACAGACTGAGCAACAAAAAACTCTGTTTAAAATAAAACCCACATTGCAATTCATAAAATCCGCGTCAACGACAACCTTCTTTCTAGTTTTTCTTGGCGTGCGCGAAGTAGATGGATTTAGGCTTTGTTCTCGGCTCGAATTATCCTAAACCCAATGATAAACCTTCAATAGCGAAAAGACCAACCGTATCTGGTTCGAAGAGCGGTTGAATGTCTCCTCCCGCCGTCCAGTGGCCCTAAATTTGGTGATAAAATTCAAAAAATAGTAAAAACTAACCGGATTCAGACCCAGTGCCATATCCATCTTTCTCATCAACAAAGCTGGATCGCTGGTTTCAGGCTCATCATAAAAATCCTCATCCGGTACCTCGAAGGGGTTGTCGCTGAAAATTGAAAACTTAAGGTAATCGATAACAGTTGCCTACGATGAGCCTGGAGTATCTGGAACTTCTTCCTTGACTTGTCGAGTTGATTTTCTCATTCCGGCAGGTCGTGAATAGGGCCTGAAAGTAGATTTTTAAGAAGTAAAAAGTAAATCAACAAAACATAAGGATTATTGTTCGTTGCAACAGAAAAGGGCTAATTTTTGCAGCAAAGCAGCCGCAACAAACGCATTTGAATGGGGAAATGGCGCCCTGCTCGGGCACCATCAGGCTGCTCAAAATGCGCCCCAGTGCGCGTACCTGCCCCCGAAGTTCCCTCTGGGTCAAATGGGGAAGATTTGCTAGCGTAGACATATCTAACCAGATAGTGGAAGTTAATATTTCCCTGTAGAGAAATATTAACTTGGAGAATCGAACAAAAATGATTACAATTCAGAAGCCTTAAAACCATAAACGAAAAGCAGAACGATGGTGGAAATTACTTAATAAAATGACGCGTTGCACAATAAATATCAATTTAAACAAATTATAGAAGTGCGCCACGCCTCTAGCCTTTATCAAACTTATCAAACAACGTGAACCTGCCCAATAGTTATCGATTTATTATTTTGGGACTGGGATTGCGTGTTGTCTGATCGGGACGCGCATTAATAGTCAATTTTCGAAATATATATAAGCCTTGTGACCTTACCTTTCGTGCACTTCGCCAGGGACAGCCGTATCACCTTATTCTTGAAATATTTGGCCCTACAACCATTGCATAGTGTTAAATTAAAGAGGACAAGGTTACAAGTCCTATAATTTTTGAAGTGAAATTAATTTAGTCTTGCGCAAAGCCGCTTACCATCTGATTTTAGGCAGCTTGGGGAGGTTGGCTGAACGTACTGATGACGTCCTCTCATCTAATGCTAACGTTCGGTCCTTGTTTACAGAACATAACATTAAAAATCCGGTCTCTTCCTGTTGGTGTGAGTTGACGTTGAGCTGGTCCATTGTTAACGAATTTTTGGCCCATTTAGCAAGGATGGGATGGGCTGCGGGTCTTGGAAGATGTTTGCCGAAGTGTCGATCAAAGCGCTAAAAGTACGGGCTTGCTTGCCTATATAAGCAGGATGGATTTGCTCTTGTCATGTATCAATCGTTGAAATGAAGGTTATTTTATTCCTGATGCTAGTGGGCCTTAGCTTCGGTTGCCCGCCTGCCGACTCTTCTAGCTCACAAAATAATGGTGCACCCGCAGCGGGGAGTAAGTAGCCTTGTCCTGCTCGGAATACGTATCTAGAGCTCGTCAGCAACATCGAACTACTGTACTCCATCCATCCTTCCACAAAATACGCGGCACCGACAGTGACCAGCGATACACAGGCCGTTGCGGATTTCGAGAAAGCGGTACATCCTTTCTTACTTGGTTTTTGGGCGATGCTCAAAAGGGTAAGGTATTATTTTTGCAAGGGACATCTCTGTATCTGAGGCTGTCCGGGCAACGCTTAACCAATACTCGGTTTAAATTTGAAATTTGGTCCAGAACCTTCCAAAGCATAGTTTTGAAGGTGAGATGCACAATTCCACCTTTTCATCCTCAATATACCCTATATGCACAGCTTGGCGAACTCTGATTGAGTCTAGCCATACCTTGAATTTTTGCCAGGTGTCCCCTCTTTTAGAGGAAGCCCATGTCAATGTCATTTTTACCTAAGTTCTGATCTTCTATTATACTTCAGGTGAAAGCAGTGCTCAGCAAAGAACACATCACCCTAACGGAAGACCCATCGATCGATTTCGCAAATCTGTTCAAGGCGGGTACAGTTCCGATGGACGCCCCGGAAGCCGGTTGCGGCGGCTCGACAGAGCCATTGAAGTTTCATTCTGCAGGCGGCTACATTGTGTCAGCCTGCGCACAAGGGGCTAGTTGGCCACCAGCGGGTGCGTTGTCCCTCTCATCTGATTTTGTGTTTTCAGTTCATATCAAGGTGAAACTACCATACGCAATGGACCAGACGATTCTGGAACGCGCAGTCTCGGAGGTAAATAGTGCTTGGAATTAAGGATGTAGTAGTTGTTATATATGATTTTTTATTCTAGCTCAAAGACGAACTCAAGGAAGAGGCAGATATCATTGATGGCTTCAAAATCGAGGCATACACCTAACGGAAAGTTGCAAGTATATTGGGAAAATTGGTGAGAATGGATAAATATTTTTTTAAAGACTTGGCTAACCTTTTATTTCTCACGATTTCGTGTATGTTCTGTGCGGTTCACTTCTGTGCAAGTTTTCGGCGAAAAATTTATCCAGTATTCGAAACTAGCAGGCGGCTGCCATGACTTGATTTGAAGCATACAGATTGCGTCAGGGAGACCAATGAACGGGTTATTGGAGGAGGTTTTTTTTGATTAGCTGCACAAAAACAGTTAGAGATCATAAAAAGCTCAAAAAGAAGATGAAGCGATACTGTGACAGAGGAAAGGAACCTACAAACAAAGGGCGATAAGGGGATGGAGAAACGTAGGTGAAAATCGAGTAGACCATGTACATATTGGGGTGAGAGGAGAGAGAGAGAGAGTACTAGTTACAGAAGCAGTGACTTGTCATAGTATCCGTAGTCTATCTGACGAGTTTTCCCTCTTGGTACTCGACATCCGAGCGGCTGGTCAGGCTGTGGCCAACGGTCTCCAGGGCCAGTTGGCGGTCCCTAGATTTAATATACGAGCAAGGGAAGCCAAAATTACCTGACGAATTTGTAGTAGTTGAGGGTGATCCATCCGCGGAGGAACAGGAAGATCAGGGCGCCAACGGCGATGCTAACGGTGTCTGAAAAACCGAAGTTCTGAGGTTTTTTAGAATTTTAAGATCCCAAAGATCCAAAAACTTACATCGAACCTGCTTCGGTGAATGCGGGTCATCGTTGGCACGTGGGAAATCGGTGGCCTTACTAAAAAACGTGAAAATTACAGAAAATCCTTAGATAAGGTACCCCTCAGTGTCGGACAGGTAGATGAAGGTGTAGGTGAGGATGGAGAGGGTGAGGAGCACCAGTTGGACAATCTTAAAAACCATATAAAAGCTTAAGGTGGATTTTCTTACGTATGCAACTCCGTAGGCCTGCATGAACATGGGCTTCTGGGTGATGAGGGCCATGATTCCGAGGAACATGATCGGGAGGCAGAAGGCGAAGATCATTGCCTAAAATATCCTTTTTGACTTATTTAAAATCCATTAAATATGTTTTGAAAGTTGTATCTAAAACATTTAAAAACATACAGTAGGCAGTCGGGCATCGGGGGTTCCGAGGATCACGGAGAGGATCAAAAAGGCGAGGAAGACAGCATCAAGGATGAGGAAGACGGCGAAACCGATCTAAAACGCGTATATAACGACTTCTAGATTTTATGACGTCTTTTTTTTTTATGTTGAAATTGGTCTATTACATACCTTGGCCTTGCCGAGCTTGCAGCAGCAATGGTAGTTCTCCTCGCGGATCGGGGTGCGAGGGTGGATGTGCGTCGGATGCCAGCACCACATGATTGTTGATTGTTAGCTGTAAGAGAATATTATCAAAAAAAATAGCTAGATCCAATACGACGGTAGAAAAAAGCGGGTTCAACGAGTTCAGAGCAAGTTAAATAGGATGGTTCGAAAAATAAATAAAACTAAAACTCCCCTTTGTCCGATCTCATTTAATAAAAATTACCTCTCTAATCTTAGACGTTAAAACTATACTAGACATCTTAAAAACAAAGTTTTTTTTATGAGAAAGCCATACACCATCAAATTTTTTGATCCCAAAAATTTCAAATATTTTAGGAAACATTAAAGAGATCAAGACAGCTTTAGCCGCCAGGAACCGAAGATTCGCCGGATCGGACCGGTCTTATATAGGCGGGCCCCGGCTGGCTTGTTGGGCCCTGCCCCTCCGATGCACTTTTGTTGTTTTTTTCCTGGGCCGGCTAGCCGATGGCATGGCATTGGGGACAACATGCCCTTTCCCTCTCGCGGCTGGGCTTTGGCCACTTCCAGACTCCCCTTTTGAAGGGAGAGCTGTTGAAAGACAGGTAAGCTTGTTGTTTTTAATGTTGCAGAAAGGGGGTGGAAAAGGTGGGCCTAGGTCAAATAGAGCGCGAATGTTGCTGGACAGGTGCGAAGATACGCTTTAAAGCGGGTTCTAACGGCGAAAATAGCCGAATTTCAGCAATTTCAAGGTGTTGCTCGCGCTCATGCTCACTCCCGCTTCTTACGGTCTCCGAACCCAGAAACACAAGAATACGAAAATGCAGAAAACTAGCCTAGCTAAAAAATAATTTTTTTCAGATTAGAAGGTTATATTTTCATAAACCCTAGATGCTATTGGGGACAATTTACAGGAGTCTAAAATTTGCAGTTTTACCACCATATATCCCCATGATTTTTAAAATTTGGTTGGATTAAAATATGATTCGAAACGTTCCGAGAGAGAAAATTGTTCTACATTTCGTGGCGATCAAGACTATTTATTTAAATTTATTTAAAACCAAGCCGGGTGCATGAAATTAATTTCGGACAATCTAGCCTTCTGGTAAAGCATACAAGTTCAAAAAGCTGCAAAAAAAATCATCTGAAAGCCCTGAAACGATCTCCGAAATCTTCTCCAGACCATCGGGGTCTTATATGCTAGCCCCAGGTAGTGCATTCTAGCCGTCAACATGCACTTATGCGCGTGTTTTCCGATCCCTCATACCCAGGCAACCCAGTTGGCTCCGCGCCTTTTCTCCTCCCATTTCCTTGGTGCACTCCTCTTTCCATCCCCTCTCTATGACCTATTTACAACAACGGCGTGAACAAGATGAACCAAGGAATTGGATGTACCCGCGGCGGGGTACATGCTTCATCGCCTCGGGGCGTCAAAGATAGGGCCAAAACTATCTATCCCTACTAAGCGAGAAAAGTATGTTTGTTTTCTGTACGGCCGTTTCTCGGCCATCAGGCCGAAGCCTCGAGCTCTTTTGGCATGGAGGTGGAGAACCACATTCACCAAAAACGCATTTTTTTGTTTTCCGAAATTCCTCCATTTAACACTTTTACAAGCAAAATAGTAAAAATCCTTAACAAAATGGGCGACGGGCCGTGGTGTTCGGGGCATAACTCGATTCGCATTTGGAATTTCGGGCTGAAATTTGGACCACTGATATAATTCGATCGTGGGGATCACGCGCATGTTATTATCTTTACAAATTTTCCGCACGAGTCACATTCAAAAGCTAAATTTTGTCGAAGTGACTAGAAGGCTTTCCCCTCCCGGGGCATTGGGTCGGCCTTTTCTGTGCCTTCCCGTCCGCCTTCCCCGGAACAGAAGAGGGCTCTCCCGCCGCCTGTTCCCATCTACCTCGTGGTGTGGTGGATTTACGCCCGGCCTACCACGCCTATGGTCGTGGGTTCGGATCCTGGCCCGATCCAACTTTTTGCTTTTTGGTAGTTTAGCAACAAAACATATTTCAGGCTCTCGGGTGTGCGAGGGTTAGGCTTGGCCCTCGCTCTAGCGCCGCAGGCCAAAAGAAAAGGCTTTTGGTCTGTAGCCCTCATGCGCCGCGGGCCCAATCCTGTGGAAAACCAGTAACTAGCGCCGCAGGCTCAAAGGTTCCTAGCGGGAACGCTGGCCCCAGCGCCGCAGGTACAAAGAATGGCGCCATTACTCAGGTTCCCTGCGCGCTGCAGGCTAAAAGGAGGAAGGTTATTCAAATTCAGGATTCCTGGATTTAGTCCAGTGGAAAATGGCTGCGAAGGTCTTTTTTCACTGGTGATC